TGCAGGTGGCCAGGGGCTGGCATTTGCCCCAACAGCAACATACAAGGTGCACATGGTGGGGAGCCAGGCAGGCTTTTGGGACGGTGCCTCCCGGGGGATGGTCGCTGGGCATGCAGCTGCATCACAGTTGAGTGCTGCCCTTACCGCAAGTGTTGGGCTGGAGGGCCTGCCCTTGGCTTGAACAGACAGCTGTGTGCTGAGCAAGGCCAGGGTCTGGCGTCCATCCCACACGGTCTCGGCCGGGAGGGTTAGGGAAGAGAAACGGCTGTCCCTCCTGCTGGAGCCGGGGCGCCATCACAAGGCCAGCAGCCCCTGTGGCAGAAGCACCAGTCTGCATGGATGACGTGAATGGGGATGGGGTATCCCAGAGCGTCTGCCAATGACAAGGAAGGTTGGTGGCCTAGACAGAAAGGCCAGCAGGGACTACCTGGTGTGAAGTCCTCAGCAGTCAGTTCAGAGCCACCATGGGCTATGGGCTGCAGCACCAGACCCCACGGAATCGTGCTGGGACTTCAGGCACCTGGGCTAAGTTGGGCGGGCCATCTGTCCAGCCTGGGAGGGAAGCCACTAACTGGCCTGAGGCTGGCGTGTGCTGGGGTGGCTGCTCCCTCGGGATTCCCGTCAGCCTTGGGCTGCGCTCAGCCCATTCCTTGGGACCCAGGTGGCAAACCGCAGCACCTTGCTACCCTGCTTGTCCTGCTCAGGAGCGATGGCCGTGTGAGGCCTGGGGGTGGGTAAGTGGGTCGTCCTGGTGCAAGGCAGGGGGGGCTGGGGGACGTCAGGGTGTCACAGTGACAGGATGCTTGAGACCCAGAGTGGGGAGTGGAATGTAGATCTGAAGGGCCCTGCAGCAGGAGGGAGGCAGGTGGAGCAGCCTTGGAGCACCGCGTGGGAGGCAGGGAGAGGTGGGGTCCTCGGCGCGGCCTTTCCACACCCAGACGCTGGAGGCCAGCTGGCCTGGTGACCCACGGCACGTTGCGTGGACAACTGAGGCTGTGAAGGTGCGCGAGGCGAGGCCGAGGGAGACAGGAGGCCACATGGGTAGGACTCCCCATCCTGTTGCTGGAAGAGCCCGGGCTGCCCAGAAAATGCCCTAGGAGGTGTGCTGCCCTTCAGAACGCAAGCCACATCCCTCCCTCCCCGGAGCAGTGGAGCTGCGCCCTGCCCGGTGACTCAGGCCAGGCCCACAGCCTTGGCAGGTGCCCTCAGGCACCAGCGGCCTGTGACAGACGGACCTGGGTGGGGTGCCTACGGCTGCTGGGTGAGGCGTCTGTAGTGCGGTGACACCTGGGCCTCAGGAAGGTACAGAGCCAGCTCCAGAGCCACGAGCACCGTGAGCTCGAAGCCGATCAGGTCTCGCCTGTTGAGCCGGAACCTCTCCTCCAGCTTCTGCAGGGAAGCAGAGGGGTCAGGTGGGCTCCCGGGGGCGGGCCAGCCACGCTCACGGGCCTGCGGGGACTCACATCGATGAGCTGCTTCACGTCGTGCTTGCGCAGGTCGCCGCTGATCTTGGCGGCCAGCAGCACGCAGGCACCGGCACACAGCTTGCGGTTCTGCTTGTTGAGCTTGCCCTGCAGGACGAGCTTCTCGAAGTACACGTAGGCCATGGACACCGCCACGGGCTCCAGGCTGCACTCCTCCGACAGGTTCCGCATCTCCCGCTTCAGGCTGCGGGCGGAGGGTGCAGAGCGCTGGGGCGGAAGATGCGGCCACCCTCCCGCGGTCACCTGTGCCCTCGGCCCTCACCCACCCCTGGTCTGGACTCCTGCGGCAGCTCCCCTCCACCCAGAGGGTGACCCACGCCACCGGGGTGCTGGCAGGGCTCCGAGATCGGGATGGCTTGGACAAGGGACCTAAAAGGCTGGAGGAGACAGCAGGGTCAAGGAGGGGTGTGCATGGAGGTCTCATTTGCTAGTGTCAGCACGACAGGCTCCAGGGCGGTGGCCACAGGGCTGACGGCCCTGCTGCTGAGCTCAGGGCAGCTCTTTTCCCCACTGACAGGCTGCCTCCGGGTTCCATGCCCTGTCTGCTGATGGGGCTCGTCAGTGGAGCAGAGGGCGGCATAAGGTTGGGGAGCCCCAGGGCCACTCTGAGCAAGGTGGAGACGGAACACAGGCAGGGGCTGGGCTCAGAGGGAGGTGGTCTGACTCTTGCCCACCCTGGGCTTTAAAAAGATCTTGGGCCGTTCCAGCCAGGTGATGTCGTGGTGAAGGCTCTGGGCCCCCTGCGGCTGATGGCGTGGTTCATCTTAGACCTGGGGGCTTGAAAACCCCTGGGCTATGTGTGTGCATGCCCAAAAGCCCAAGGGGAGAAGAGAAGGGACTGCGGCATGGCCAGTCCTCCGGGTGGTTCTCTCACTTTGGCCCCATATGCCCCTACAGTAAAAGTTAAAATAAAAGACCCTGGGCTAGCGAGGGTCCTGGCAGGGCAGGCGGAGCTGCAGACTGGGCGGGCCCCCAGATCTGTCCAGTTCTGGTGTATCTGCCAGAAAAGGCCAGTGGGAACCCCGTGAAGGCCAGGGGGTGGATGAGAGGCCGCCTCCGCGCTGCACAGGCCAGCGCCTGCCCTCACCTGCGGATCTTGCTCAGCGTCAGTCTGATGTGCGGGAACTTCTCCCTGAAGGTCTCGTTCATGTCTTTCTTGAGGTCGGAAGGCTTCACGTACTCAATCACCGTCGTCTGCAACAAGCCAGGCGGGCTGGGCTGGCCCTGTGCACCACTCCAGTGCCTGGCCTGCGGCGGCGGCTCCGAGGGGCACTGACCTGAGAGCCGACGGCTCAGAGCTGGACAGCAGGGCCTGGTGTCCTCGGGGAGGAGGCCCAGCTCTGAGTGCTGGGGCTGCCCGTCCGTGTCTGCTACCCTTCCCCCGACCCCGCGCCCAGAGCCGGGGTACCCTGGGTGGCTACTCTGGTGTGTCTGACACCCGCATGCCCTGAGCTGTGGCAGTGGTCGGTGAGCAGACTCCCAGTGCTCACCATGTACGAGGCAAAGATGAGGACACGCTTGTGCTTGCCGCAGGGCCACTGCGGGTCGTCCAGGAGGTTGGGGTTGTATTCCAGGGTGTCTCCCACGTCGCTCCCTGCAGGCAGAGGTGCCCTGCCATCAGACCCAGTGTAGACCGAAGGGAGTTGGGGGAGGCTGGGCATTGCAGCCGCACAAGTAGGGTGGGGTCCCAGGGAGGAAGGGGTCTGTAGGGAGGCCCCCCAGAACTGGCCCATGGACGTGGTCTCTCTCCACGGCAAAGCCCAGGGCTGTTCTTGCTTCCTAGGGAGGGAGGCCACCCTGTGGCCCTCCCTGGGCACTGGTGAGGCCCTGTAGCTGTCGCAGCCTAGCCAACACCGTGCATAGGTATGGTGCGGGTCACCAGCTCCGTGCCACTGTAAAGGCCTGTGGGTTACCTAGCTCTGTACTGGCTGGCACCGACTTCGTGGGGGCAGGTTTGTGTCTTGCCCCAGGCAGAGTCCGGGGGACGCTGGGCCGAGGCTGGGGAGGCGGGCCGTGGCTGTCGCCCTTTGACGCGAGCAGAGCGTTGGTTGGGTACAGGAACTTGGCGTAGGACACCACCTGGATGGCACAGCATGCTCAGCCCTGCCTCCCAGGGCCAAGAGGGCACAGCCAGCTCTGCCTACACCCCGCAAGGAGGCCCAGACACATGTGCTTGTGCCCCTGTGTGAGGCAGTGGACCACCCGGTAAGGTGCTCGGCAGTCCTTGGGCCCGACGCCGATCGCTCCCCAGGAGGTAGGGCCCCCCTCCCAGGACACCACCTCCACCACCTTCACCTGGGAGCTGCAGCATGTACCCTGCTCCCCCACCCAAAGGCCCCTGACCTCAGAGCAGCACAGACGGGGGACCAAGTGGCTGCACGGGCCCACCCCACAGACAGGGCTGACTGTGGCTGGGCACGGCTCGCTCGCGGTTGAGGCGGCTGCAGTGGCCTCCCAGCCCCCATCACAGTGCAGCGTGACTGCTTCCACCCTTGGTCCAGCCCGTGCTCGTCCATGGGCACAGGCCAGCACCCAGCCCCACCATGCTGGCCGTCAGCGACCAAGGCTTCTTGCCTTCCCATCTGCTCCCAGCTCGACACCTTCCAACTCAAAGACCATCTCGGAAGAGACGGAGACGCCGCCAGACGGGTGCCGCTGCTTCTGGCTGTCCACACGCAGGTCACTGCGAGGCACAGACATGGGCTGTGGCCCTCTGCCCGCACCGGCAGCCCGCCCTCCGAAGTGCACACAGGACTGACCCGCATACCCCGCGGGGGCGAGGTGGCACCCGCAGGCTGCAGGGAGCTCAGGACTCTCGTGGGGGGAGGGCTTGAGGCTGGGCGCTCACCCGACTCGCAGGCCATCTCCGTAGGGCAGGACCGAGAAGGCAGCGCACAGCGACCGCTTGGCACAGATGAGCACGATCCTGCGGGGCACGGCGTGATGTCTCCGGGGCAGCTCTTCCTGCTGCGTCTGCTGGGGCCGCCCACGCCGTCCCAAGGGACTCTTGGGACCCCAGGAACTGGGTGGTCAGTGCCCACAGGCCTGCCCAGCACGCGGATGGACCCCTCAGAGGTGCAGGACACTGTCCCTCCCTTGACACCAGGACTCTTCCCTGGCCGGTGACGAGGCTGGAGGCCTCACGTTAGGACCCTGGTTGATCAGGAAAGGCCAGACTTCCCTAGAGGCAGAGGGCAGGGCACATCTGCAGGGCTGGTCTTGGGGGATTGACACCATCCTGAGTGCCCAGTCTTCCTCCAGAGCCATGCCACCTGGAGAGTCCTATGGCCCTATGGCCAGCACCTGGCCTCGATCCCCCAGGGGGGTGACGGGAGGAACAGGACAGAACCGGGGGCTGCCCGGGAGCTGCAGCAGGCCAGCCTGTCCATGCCCACCATCACCACTGTGGCGGGGCCTCCAGTGGGAAGGGCCAGGGGGACAGCCTCCGTGGCTCCCTCCCAGGATTGAGCCGGACGCTGCTGCTCTACACATGGGTGTCAGTTCAGCCCCACGCCCCTCCCTGGTGCTCCTGTCCCTCCAGTGCTCTCGCTGCAGGTTCGAGTCCACCCGGCTCCTCACCAGGCATCCAGAGAAAGCCCATGGCCGTGGGCCCACGGGGCCCGCCTGGAGGGATGAGGGCTGGGCAGGCGGGCGGTACCTGCTGTTCTTGGTGTCGTACTGCCGCATGTTCTTGATGAAGTGCGTCTTCTTCAGACCCGTGTGTCGCGGTGACCCGGACGTGTGCTTGGTCCTGGGAGGCAGAAAGTGCACACAGGACTGACTCCAGGCACTCCAGAGCCTCGCTGGCCCGCGTGCAGGGCCGGGCTCGGGGCAGGCGGTGGTGCCTACCTCTGTGCAGAGGCACAGACCGCAGCGTCTTCCAGAAACTCCAGGGAGCAGCGCTGGGATGTGACTCTCCTCCTGTAGGGGACACGGGGTCTCAGAGCAGCACTGCCGTGCATGCTGACAGGGCTGGGCGGCCTCTACATGGGCCAAGGCTTGGGGTGCGGCTGGAGGTGGAGGCAGTGAGGATGTGGGGGTGGCCCTTCCCACTCATTAAGGGCAAGCATGGCCACCGGCCACTGCCCTGCTCGCCCAGGAGCATCCAGCTCCACATACTGTGGTCCAGAGGGCCCCCGCCAGCGCGTCCGCTCCGCTAGGCCACAGGCAGGTGCGAGCCTGGGTGCCCAGAGCACGGTGCCAGCCCTTGCTTCCCAAGACAGGCCTGCTCCTGGCACTCGCCCCTGCCTCACCGCCCACGGGCTGCTGCCCCCTGTGGAATGCAGGTGCCCAGGATGGCAGACACCACCTCCCTGCCATGGCCCTGACACTTGGCACTCAGGGGGTCAGGACCGGGCCTGGGGGAGCTGCCACCCCAAGAATGCAGAAGCCCTGCAAGCTGCAGCTCTGGGCTGTCAGCGCCGAGGTCGCTGTGTCATTGCTGACCTAGTCGGTGGGCATCGTTGGCAAGATGCTGACAGCACAGCTACTGGGGCAGGCTCCGGGAGGGACAAGCACTGCTGTCACGCCAAGGTCACACTGCAAAGGCAGGAGGCCTGCCAACTCCAAGGCTGGGTTCGGCCCCAACCCCTGCTCCTGGGCGGACAGCAGAGACCCAGGAGCCCCGCGGGCCCAGAAGGCCAGCTCTGCAGCCCAGGTGCAGAGGGCGCTGCGCTTCCCGGCAGTCCGTTCGCTCGGGCCAGTCATGCACTCCTCAGAGCGTACTAGGCGACGCCCAGGACACCTCACGGAAGTCGCTGACCTGGCCGCCCATCCTCTCCTGCCCAGAGCCAAGTGCCCCCAGGCTGTGCAAGGCCCCTGGCAGGGTTCCCACTGGTAGCGGTGCACAGAGGGCCCTGGCGCGGGTGGTGGTCGGCTGCTCACTGCTGCAGGCTCTGCTAGTCTGCAGTGCCCATATCTCACCCCTGCTCGACTGACGTCCCAGGGACGTGCCAGGACAGAGTCCTGACTGGCAGGGGGCTGGGGTGGGCCCGCATAGAACCTGATGCCTCACACCCCTCCTGCTGGGCCTCGGAGTCCCCCGGCCTTTCCCACAAGCAGGAAGTTGGTCAGGCATTTGCTCAATGAAGGCCTGGCTGACTTCCTGGAGGGCTCCCTCCTGGCCAGCACCCTCTGCTCTGCAGGGAGCCGAGGGGCCACGCTGAGGATCACAGTTCTGACACAGAGACTCGCATGTGTGAGTCACTCAGGGGAGCGTCCCAGCGTCCACTCCGCAGCTGCAGAAGCTCCCTAGGGAAATGGGGCCGCCACAGACCCACCAGACGGGAGGGGTGAATGCAAGATCAAAGGCCCTTTTGGAACCTGGAGAGATGCTCCAGGCTGGTGTAAGGTGAGCCTTGAGGTCCCTGGGGCTGCCACCGTGGAACAGACATGGCCTTGTGAACCACTTTTCTTCAGGGTCCTGTGGTGAGCTGGGGACAGGGATTCCCAGGTGGGAATCTGCTGAGCATCTGCTCCCGGTGTCTGCTCCACTGGCAGTCCCCGCTCTGAAGCTCCCGTCACGCCCTCTGGTGCACAGCTGTGAGAAGCCCCTGCACCCTGAAGCTACTGAGGGCAGGGGCCCACCTGAGCATACCCCTGGTTCCTACGCGTTCACAACATGACAGACGCCCACGCTGCCCAAGCCAGGTGTCCTGCCCACTCTCGGACACACCAAGGTGGGTCCTGCGGAGACCTGGCTAGCAGCAGGAGGCGGAGAGGTGCCCGCTCTGCACACAGCTCGGCCTCAGTGCAGCCTGGGCCCAGCCCCTGGGGAAACATGCATGTGCTTGAGTCAGAAGGGACAGCGGCCCGTGGCAGCAAGACCCATGGAGCCTGCGGCCACCGCGTGGGCTGAGCCTCTGCCCCTTGGGCCTCAGTGACATCCTCCGCAGACCCGAGGGCACCCATGACAAACACTCTCGATGCTGTCGCTGTGCTACTGGGGGCGCCTCAGAATGGGACTTTGGGTGTTGGTGTCTTCACAAAGGCAGTGAAGGCAAACGGAGGTCACTGGGCTGGGCCAACTGGACCAGGACCGGAGTCCTTCCCAGAAGGCCACGACAGTAACACGCACACAGGCATGGCCGCATGAGTGCACAGGGGACGTGTCACCAGGCCGAGAAGGGCCTCTGGAGGGGCCAGACTGGCACGGCCCAGAACAGGGAGGCACATGTGCGCGGCTCAGGCCACCTGGCCTGTGGCTTTTGTCATAGCCGCTGGGGCTGACTCGGTCCAAGGATCAGTGGGGCTGGCACAGCCCTGGATGCCCCGTGATTAAGTCATGGTGGCAACGTAGAAGGGGCTCGCCTGCAGGGCCGCGGGTGGGCTTCTGCACACCCAATGTGGGCCGAGCACCCAGCCCTGGCGCCGGGAGGGCCACACAGGGCAGAGCTGCTGCGTGTCTCACCTGGCTGCGGCCTCAGAGCCTAGCTGCGAGGCGGGGACAGGGAGCTAGCGTAGGTCCCCATGCGGCTTACTGGGTGCAGGTTGGCCTCGAGCAGTGAGTGGGTGTGCTCCGAACTGCTGTCACCAGCAGCCGTCTCATCGAGGCCCGGCCTGGACTCTGGGGCAGGTACCGAGGCTCACGACTGAGGGCTGGTGCTGGGCGCCGTGCTCCACCTAGCTCCACGTCACAGGTCGGATGGGGTCCTGCCCCGAGCATGTCATGGCCACCGCCCACACCGGCAGCAGACACAGCAATGGCACTCCCTGGCAGGTGGCACGGAGGTCTCCAGTGCGGTCTTGTGTGTGCTAAGGCCATCACACAGACACTTGGTGTGTTTTTGCTTTGTTTTTTTTGCTTACAAAGAAATCTCAGTCTATTATAATAAAAGCAAAGCTGACAAGAGTTTGCTGAGAACAAACTGGAATCAAGCCCTCAAGTAAATCCAAGTTGACCCTCTCCTGAGAGGGCTGGGCACTCCTCCACCCTGCTTGGTTGGGCTGCCAACTAGAGGGAGAGGGAGGTGCCTGGGGTGGTGAAGAGGGGCAGGCCGAGGGCATGGCCGGCAGACCCCAGGCTGCGGGGAGGCCTGTGAGCACGAACCCTGCAAGGTGGTGGTGGGCAGGCTCTGCCCTGAGGGTGCCAGGGAAGGTGGCTGGCCGAGGTGGGGAGGTGGGGGTGGACCCTGCAGTGGTGCCTGCGTCCTCCCGTCCCCATGTGTGTTCTCAAGGCTCAGTCCCTTGGGCAATTACCCAAGTGATGGCGGGCGGCTCCCACACCTGGGGCCTCATTAGCAGGGCCCATGGAGGTGCCAGCAGAAGCTGGGCCCCTTGGTGGCCTACCGGGCAGCAGTGCCTGGGCTCCCTGGCAGCCCCAGCTGGCCTCTGGCCCAGGGTCTGGCAGAGCTGCGGTGGACTCTGACCAGCGCTGCCAGCTCGAGCCCCCTGCAGTCTCCTGGGCACTACAGGACAACACGTCCTCCACGCCACCTCTCACTCTGTCCCAGCGGGGTTTGCAGACCTCTCCTGGGGGACTCCTTCCCCTGTAAACACGCTCCTCGTGACCACGAAGGCCGGTGGTGTCCTGACCTCACCTCCAGGTGGGAACCGGGGAGCGAGCACTTCACTGCTATCCCGATCGCCACTGCTGGGGTGGGGGCCTGAGCCTGGTGGAGCCCTGTCCCTGCCCGCGGCAGCTGGACGCAGGCTGCTCTGGCCCCAGGTCCTCAGCCGCTGAGCCTGACCTGTTCCAGGGTGCGTTTCTCAGGTTTGGGTCCCAAGACTGTGACGACACAGCTCAGGGTGCCAGCACACAGGCTGGAGACCCAGGCTGGCCAGACCAGGGAGGCCACTGCCTCCTCCCCCAGCTGGTGGGAGTCTGTGGAAGGCCCTTCCCCAGAAGCAAGACGCACACCTGGGACCGTCATCCCGCGAAGCAGCGCCGGGGAAGACCGACTAGCCAGCAGACAGGGCAGCGGGTGTCTGTGGCTGGCCGCCCTGGGAGGTGGGCTGGGAGCCCGGTGCGGACCACACTCCTGGGTCGCACACACTCTATGTGCTCTGCGCTGGCCCCCGGGAGGCTGGACAGTCGGAGGGAGCACGTGGAAACCGCACAGCAGGACCCGAGGTGCACAGGGCAGGCTCTGCCTGGGGTGACACCAGCGCGCAGGGTGTGGGTGACCCGGGAGGGGCGGAGCTTATGAGCAGTCTGGCACCTGGCTGTGACTCAGCCTCATGCTGCAGGCCTCAGGCCTGTCTCCTAACACAGGCCCTGTACCGCCTCGAAGAGGATGCCGAAGGCTGCCCACCGCCCCGCGCTCGGGGCTCCAGGTCCCACCAAGCTGACCGCGGTTGGAGTCCCAGCCCTGGTACCATAGAAACACAGTGTGCAGGTGTGCTCAAGACGCCCAGGGACAGAGGTGGAGAGGCCACGGGTGACCATGCCTCTGGGGGTACTCCCCCCCAGAGCCCTCTGGCAAGTTTTTAAAAAATGCTGAAAACAAGCAAACCAACCACACAGAACTAACCATGCCTGCTGGGGGTACTAGCCCCTCCCCTCCCCCCCAGAGCCCTCTGGCAAGTTTTTAAAAAATGCTGAAAACAAGCAAACCAACCACACAGAACTAACTCTGGGCTTTCTGCCACCTTGGTGACTATGCACCCGTACCCTGGGCATTTGGCCGATCAAGTCCCTGCCCCTGGGACCCTCTGTCTGCCGTGCCGCCCCAATCCTTGGGGTCCCTTCCCGCCACGACAGCCAAGGCCAGCCACACCAGATTTTGGGAATGACAGTCCCCAGAGGGCAAGACCCCCACTCAGCTGCCCTGCTGCCACCCCAGCCTCTGAACTGCCCTCCTTGAGTGGGTGTGACACCTGTGGTGGAGCGGCCACTCCTGGTCACCGCCTGGCCCAAGACAGGAGAAATGGCCTTGGATGAACTCCTTTCCCTGGGACACAGCTGCCTCTGGGAGCCCCAAGATGCCAAAGCCGAGCGAGGCGGCCCGCAGACTTCAGTCGCTCTCAGGGTCCCCTAGCCTCTCCAAGGTGGAAGTAGCCCTCTGAGTGGGGTCAGTGACCCGAGGGTAGGCTGGAGCCCTCCCGGAGGGATCACACGCTGCCCAGGGCTGACAAACCCCGGCACTGATGACATGCACACAGTCCGTGCCAGGAAAGCTGGGCTGTGGCCCGTGGTGGCCCAGTGCTCCGTCCCCAACCTGAGCACAGAGCCTGGCATGCTGTAGACTCCCGGGGCACACTGCGGTGGGCGGTCTTGGCACCTGTGCCCGACCTCTGAGGAGCAGAGCACGCCCAGCACGGAGCCCGTGGCCTGGCAGCTTCATGTGATGAAAGGAGCCCATGCAGGGCCCAGGGCGGGGGCTCGGCCAGGCCTCCTGGTGCCACCACCTGTCCAGTTTCCGACAAGACAGTAAGAAACCCCCAGCCAGGGTGGGGAACAAGCTGGACTCTGGACAGAACTGGCAGATCTGGGGCGGCCCCCCTGGGTCCCGAATGTGCTCCTAGGCAGGACGGCAGCACATCCCTGCAACTACGGCCCGGTCTGACCTCGAGGCATCTCCGCACACGCCCTCTCGAATCTGGAGGGTCTCTGCGCGCACCTCTGGGATGCCTCTTGCGTCTGACTGCACCCAGCTCTCCGCAAGGCCCTCCTCTCCTGCCATCTGCAGGTCGTTTTCTTGCTGGGTGGCCTGCGTGCCCTCGTCAGCTCTGCCGCTGCGCTGTCCCCCCAGCTCTCTGCAGCTGGGATCGGACCTTAGTTGGAAACAGAGTCCTGGTGGATGTGATCAGGTTAAGGAGTGGTCACAGGGAGCCCTAGTCTAGTGACTGGTGTCCTCATCTCAGGAGAAGACACTATGTGAAGGGACAGAGCCAGGCAGAGGACAGACTGATGTGGCCACGGGCCAAGGGCTGCTTGGAGCAGCCAGAGGCAAGAGAGGTCCTGCCCAGGGTGTGGGTGGGGAGCTGCCCGCCAGGTCGAGACCCTGGACTTCCGTTCATTCCGGGACGGGGTGAGTGTGTGTTGCAAGGCACCATCCGGTGTTGGGGCTCGTGTGCGGCCATCTGGGGAGGAGAGCGCGCCAAGGGGTCACGGAGGAGGGCTGTGGCGAGGCGGCTCCAGGCAGGCACCTGGACCCTGCTTCACCCCCAGCAGGGAAGCCTGGCCAGCTTGTTCCCGGGTGTCTCGAGCCACCACAGCGCCCAAGACTAAAGTAACCCCGTGCTCCGAGCTCCCGGAAAGGAGGGTTCCGAGGACTCGCTTGCTGAGTGGAAAGGCTACTCCGAGCAGACTCCACAGCAGCAGAGAAGGGAGCCCTCGGGGTCACAGCCAGAGCCTCTGCCACCGGTCCCACCGGCCACACCAACCTTGGGGAGGTGGTGCATAACACAAAGCTCAGGTCCCAGAGCGGGACTGCGGCCAGAGAGATCCCGCCCACCAGGGCCAGAGAACATGGGTCAAACCACCACTCGAGCCCTGCCCTGGGGAGCACCCACCCTGGGGGCCAGCTGCCATGGAGGGGGTGTTCCGTGGGTGTGAGGTCCCACTGTGAGCTCAGCAGCAGAGCCCATGAGAGTCATCTGAGGGGGTCGTGCAGGCCCACAGTGGAGGGTGCAGCAGGAGGACCAAAGGGTACCCCGACACACCACGCCTGCCCTGGGGCCGGGCCTTGGCACACGCCCTCTTCAGAAACACGCGGGTGTGATGCCAGCCGTGCCCGAGCGCTGTCGCCCATGGAGCATGAGGGCACCACGTGAGGAGAGGCTGTCCCTGGGCCTCCAGAGCAGCTCTGGGTGAGAAGCTGCAGGCCCTCCGACAGCGCCGCACCCGGACCCACCCTGAGCACGGACCTCCTGAGCTGGCCCGGCCGCTCGGCTGGGGCAGCCGATGACCCGGGAGCAGCGGCTCCCGGAAC